TCATTTTTTTTTTTTTGAATCGAATCGATTGATTGCAAATCGGATTGTGCCTTTCTCATTTCCCCCAATTGGCTATTGATCAATCGATCGATCAATCAATTTTTTTTCTATTAATGAAACAAACAAAAAGGTTAATTGAATTTCCAATTCAATCAATTTCAAAATTTTTTTTCTCAAATTGATCATATTGATTAAATGAATGTGTTAAAATAGCCTCATAGATAATTTCTATCGAACAAAAAAAATGGAAAAAAAATGCAAAATAGTCGAACAGAAAAACATTATGAAATGAAACAAATTGACCGAAATCTACATTCGAACAATCAACAACAACCAAAAACAAAAGAAAAAACCACCAACTAAAAGCCGGATATTATGATGATGATGATAATAATAATATTTTGAGCTACTTGATGTGTAAATAGGTGAAAATAATGATAATGTTTCAAACATATATTAATTGTCTATTTTCACACCATTATCATCATCATCATTATGATGATGATGATCAAGTAGCAAACAAGCATTTAAAGGTAGACATTTAAATAATAATAATAATAATCTATAATTACATACATTTAACACTAACACACACACACACACCCCCATTAAATATAGAAAACATATATGGAGAAACAAAGTTTGTTTAAAGTTTGATGAGAATCCATTATATCACAGAAAAAAAGGTGTTAATGTTATTATGATTAATTATTGATCATGATGATGATGATGATTGACCTACCGACCTCATTATAATATAAATTTAACAACAATAATAATGATAATGGTGGTTTTTAAATGGAAAATTTCTTTTCTTTTATCATTTTAAAAAAATGAAACATCCAATATCTATCCAATTGATTGAAATGAAATCTATTTTTTCAATATTTATTCAAGTTGCACCATTTATTTCTCACAAGCTAACAATGAATTCAATTTTATCAATAAATTTGGGTTTCAAATGGGTGGTCAAAAGGGGATGGAATGTTTTGTTGTGAAAATTTTTTTTAAAAACGTAATGGGTGTGTGTGTGTTGCGTATTGTATGATGATCATCAGCAGTACAGCAATGGTTCAATGGGCCAAAGTTTCAACAACAACAAAAACTTTTCCTTTTCATCGAGAGATAATCAAAAAATGAGTAGAAATAGTCTCCCTATTTTCTTTTTTGAATATAAAAAAAACTTTTAAAAAAATCCAAAAAATTATAATTGAACAATTCATTTTTTTACCTTATTGGTTTCAACAACAACAACAACAAAAAACATTGTCATTGTGTATTGATGACCAAATTTAAAAAAGTTTTCAAAAGAAATTTTCTTCATTTTGAAACATTTTGTGTGTGTGTGTTTCATTCATTTGTTCATCAATTTTCGACGTTTTTTTTCGGTTAACGATGAACCAAATTTACAAGGAAAAAAAAATTTGTTTACAAGGAATCAAAATGCTCATATGGAACGCGGAAGTTTTAAATCTTTTGATGATGATGATCAGTGGTGATCAGTGATGAAAAACTTTTTCTTTTTCGTTTTTTTTGAATGTCGACAAACATGAATATAGATTTCATTCATTTACTTACTTTTTTTTTACTGAATTCAAAAAATTAACAATGAACTTTATTGGTGGATAACATCTTTATATCATGATGATGATGATGATGATGACTGAAACCATCATTTTGATTGACAGCTGCATATATTCATCTCTCTCGACAATCAATTCTTTAGTGTATTCAATTTCCGTCAACTTTCCATTTTGTTTCTTTTTTTTTTTTGACTTGTTGTGTCTATATAGTCGATTATTAGATTTAGGTGTGTGTGTGTGTCTATTGTTAAGTTGATTTTTTTCCAACATCCTTGTTGTTTGGCTAATTTTTTTGTTTTGTTTTGTTTTGTTTAATTCAATTCAACATTTCGTGATGTGAATCTAATTCTAATAAAATTAGAAAAATCAATCAAACACACATACACACACACACAGAAGAAACAAGAAAACCAAAGAAAAAATCAAATTGATATAATGATGATGTAAATGCAAATGATTTTGGTTGGTTGGCAAAATTGTTATTTTATTGTTTTTTTTTGTTGATTGAATTAATAATGATGATCAATATTTTTCAATTGTTATAATCGAATCAAAAAAAAAATGGTTGCCAATCATTATCATCATCGAATCGAGGTTTTTTTCTTTTTTCTTTTTCTGATTGACCGATATTGATCATATTGGATGGATGGATGGATGGATAGTCAATTCGAACGATTCAAAAACATTCGAATTGAACATGCTCAGGACAGATGTTCGAAACAAAAAAGTTTGCTCGATATTAAAGATAAATTGTTGCACTTTTTTATAATTTCTGATGAAGAAAAAGAAAAAAAAATCATAAAATTTAAAAATTTTCTTTTTTTTTAAAAAAAAAACTTAAAATAAACATAATGATCTAGATTATTTTAACTTTTCCCATCATTGTGATATGGGTTGTAATTTTTATCGTTACTCTTAATTTTGTTGTTGTTGTTGTTGTCGTTAATCATATTATCTTTGATCTTTGATAATTTGCATTTGTAATTAATTAATTAATTTTTAAATTATTCATTTGATCATTTGTAATGTTTATATATCCGATTATGATAATTAATTCATTTCATTTTCATTTTTCTGTTTGTATATTATTAATCATAATATAGGAATATGCCTGTCAAGTAACATTTCGTCAACAATGGAATGATAATCGTCTTAAATTTGATGATCAAAATGGTCAGATAAAATATTTAGTACTTACCGATCCGGAACGTATTTGGAAACCGGATCTATTCTTTAAGAATGAAAAAAAAGGACATTTTCATGAAATAATTATGCCAAATATTTTGCTTCGTATACATCCAAATGGAGAGATTTTATATTCAATACGTTTATCATTAACATTAGCATGTCCAATGGATCTTAAATATTATCCATTGGATAGGCAAACTTGTTCAATTGCAATGGCTAGTTGTAAGTTTTTTTGTTTTTTTTTTGGTTAAAAAATTTTAATTTTAATTTTCTATTTTCATCCAAGATGCTTACAGTACCGAAGATTTGGTATTCACTTGGAAGGCAAACAATCCTGTACAAGTATCAGGCGATATAAATCTTCCTCGTTTTACATTGAAAGATTATAGTACAAAATATTGTACATCACGAACAAATACTGGTAATTGAAATTTATTATTACTTTAGTTTATATATTGAAGTAATCGATTGATTCCATTATAAAAATATAGGCGAATATAGTTGTCTTCAAGTGAATCTATTATTCAAACGTGAATTCAGTTATTATTTAATTCAAATTTATATACCATGCGCTATGTTAATCTTTGTATCATGGGTATCATTTTGGTTGGATCCAAATGCAACTGTTGCACGTGTATCATTAGGTGTTACGACATTATTATCGATGGCCACACAAATAAGCGGTATAAATGCAAGTCAACCACCAGTTAGTTATACAAAAGCAATCGATGTTTGGACTGGTGTTTGTTTGACATTTGTATTTGGTGCATTGTTGGAATTTGCATTGGTTAATTATGCATCACGTAGTGATGTACATCATGCAGCTGCTAAACAACAACGACAACGTTTAGCTAAATGGAATATGGAACAAGCAATGTTAGAGGGTAATAATATTGAATTGGCTGCTTATGGTTTGGTAATTATTATCATCTGTTTAAAATATTCAGTTAAATTTTAATATTCTTTATCATAAATTATAATAAAATAGCGTCCAGGATGTGAAATACATATGGCACCACCAAGACGTAAAAATTGGTGTAAACGATGGCTTTCAAAATTTCCAACACGTTCCAAACGTATTGATGTTGTTTCGCGAATATTTTTTCCGTTCATGTTTGGCCTTTTCAATTTAGTCTATTGGATTACCTATATGTTCCGTGATGATTTGCAATAAAAACAACAAAAAAAAACAAAACCAAACAAACAGATCCAAAGAGAGAAATAGAGAAAGATTAATCAAAAGAAAAAAAAATAGAATTCTTTTCAGAAACTAAGAATTTTTTTTTCTTTAATTGAATTTCTATGTGTAGAATAAAACAACATAAAAAAATGGAATTTATAGTGAACATTTGTGTGTGTGTGTATGTATGTGTGTTCAAGTTTGAAGGATTTACTTTTCAATCAATCAAAAAAAAGCAAAAACAAAATTAACTTATATAAATTGACAAGGCCAGCAAAAGAAATTCATCAGCAACACACACACACAAACAAACAATTAAAATGAAGCCATTCCATTTTTTTTATTCATTACATCATCATCAAAGCATAATTAAGACATTCATTTCATCTCATTTCGTTTCAGATTGGAGAAAACAAAAATTCTTTAGTTATTTTATTCTTTTGAAAAAAAACTAAGAAAAAAGATTTTTTCTTTCTTTCACTCAAAAGAATTCATCAATCAATCAATCATTCAATCAATAAACAAATCGTGTGAAAATTGTTGATTAAATTTTTTAATTTGAATGAAAATATTACACTTTTTTTGTTTCACTCAGTCATACACACACACAACAAGCACTAACTGAATCACATGAATTTCATTATTTCATTGTATAGAACTAATATATTGATCTCTTCACAATCATTTTATAGATGATAATATTTAGATGATAATATTTATGACATCATCATCATTACATCATTGTCCAGTCCACTTTTTTTTAGTCCTTGATTCACAATGGATACTGTGAAAACCAGAATTCTACCAAGAACATTTATTTGTCTTTCGCATACACACACACACAAAAACCACATTCCATATGACAACTGTAATCATCATTAACATTTTCTCAAATTAATTAATTTCGTTGTAATTTTTGATTTTATTTTGATCAGGAAGTAATCCGATATAATAATAAAAATAAAAAAAAACTTTATTTGAATTTTTGAATTCGAATTATACTCGTTATGCCATCTATCGACAATTGTCATTAATGTCATAATTCTATTCACAAAATCTATGACTGAGTAGGCTTTTTGTGTTGGAGAACAACAATCCACGTGTCTTTTTTGTTTTTTGGATTCACGATTCACAGAATCTATCAACTTTTAAATTGATAATCATTTTTGTTTTGGGATCATTTTTCGAATTGAAAATAATTCTTACTTTTAACGAAAACAAAAATGCGTGTCGAAGCATTCATTTGTATCAATGAAAAAGCTCAATGTGAAGAGCTACGAGAATATATGCTTGAATTGGGTGCACCAATTTCTCGTACAGCATCCGACAATTATATTATCGATCTACAACAAATCATTTCGGTTTGTGATATTGTATTCAAAGTGGAAAAAGAAAATGAAATCGAAATGGTATTGAATTCGATTGTTTCAGTTTTATTGCAAGTTGGCGCTAATCAACCTGAAGCACCGGCATTATTGGCTTCATTTTGTGATCAATTGATCAAAGCTCCAACACCTAAAACAGCTTCCACTGCATTTCGTGTGTTACAAAATCTATTCAACGGTTTTATTCATACTCCACATCGATATCGTATCTATTTGGCATTGATTCAATTATGTGAATTGAGTGGCCAAGTACGACTTATCTATAATCATTTGCCACAATTTAAAAAATGGTTCCCTGTCGATGAATTTGGTGGGGAAAAAATTCAATCATTATTGCGTTTATTGCATTCAATTTTGCAAACAAATAAACTACCAGATATGGCGGCCAAAGTAATGGTAGAATTATTGACAACATATACCGAAGAAAATGCATCACAGGCACGTGAAGATGCTCATAAATGTATTGTATCGGCCATTGCCGATCCGAATACATTTCTAATGGATTATTTACTCACATTGAAACCAGTGAAATTTTTGGAAGGCGAACCAATCTATGAATTATTGACCATTTTTGTTACCGAAAATCTTTCGGCTTATGTTGATTTCTATAAATCACATGCCAGCTATATTACTGATACTTTGAATTTATCGCATGATGCAAATATGCAAAAAATGCGTCTTCTTACATTCATGCAGATGGCCGAAATAAAAAAAGAATTGTATTTTGCTGATATACAGAAAGAATTACAATTAACACCGGATCAAGTAGAATTTTTCATCATTGATGTATTGAAAACCAAATTGGTCAAAGCACATATTGATCAAGCAAATCAAAAAGTTATCGTTTCATTAACTATGCATCGTACATTTGGCCGTGCACAATGGAAACAATTACATGAAACATTGAAACAATGTTCATCGAATATGTCGAAAATTCAGGATACATTAATTCAGTATATGCTTGCTTATAATCAATCAGTACACTAGAAATTATTTTTTTGTTTGAAAAAAATATGCATACATAAAACGCCCACAAATTTGAATAATTTTTTCCATAGAAAATTCAAAAATTTCAATTTTATTTAAAAATTTAATCTGAAAATAAATAAATTTTAATTCAAAAAAAAAAATTTCTCGGAAATCTTTAATTCTGTCTATATGGAGAAACTTTTCGGAAAATATACAAAAACACAATGCAAATATGCGATTGTTGTTGCTATTGTGTTATTTGAAGTATCAAAGAATTTTTTTTTCTTCAATATTTGTTCTTTTGAATAAATTCTAAAAATGTCTGGTCAAGTAGCATTAAAAACATGGGAACTTTCTAATCAAATTGAAACAATCAATGGTATTGATGAAATTTATAAATATAATCGTGAACAACAACAAGATATATTGTCAGCTAAACCATGGGATAAAGAGTAAGTTTTTCTTTTCCAAAAATTTTCGAATTGAAATCCTAATATTTTTTTTTATATTATACAGTCCACATTATTTTAAAGATATTAAAATATCAGCATTAGCATTGTTGAAAATGGTTATGCATGCACGTTCAGGTGGTTCAATCGAAGTAATGGGACTTATGTTAGGAAAAGTCGATGCCAATACATTGATTGTAATGGATGCATTTGCATTGCCTGTCGAAGGAACTGAAACTCGTGTAAATGCACAAGCACAAGCTTATGAATATATGGCTGAATATACTGAATCAGCTAAACAGGTTGGTCGTCTTGAAAATGTTATCGGTTGGTATCATTCACATCCTGGTTATGGTTGTTGGCTTAGCGGTATCGATGTTTCCACACAAATGTTAAATCAACAATTTCAGGAACCATTTGTTGCCATTGTTATTGATCCGATTCGTACAATGTCAGCGGGTAAAGTTTGTTTGGGTGCATTTCGTACCTATCCAAAAGGTTATAAACCACCGGATGAAGGTCCAGAAGAATATCAATCAATACCATTGAATAAGATTGAAGATTTTGGTGTTCATTGTAAACATTATTATTCATTAGAAGTATCATATTTTAAATCATCATTAGATAATCGTATTCTTGATTCATTATGGAATAAATATTGGGTCAATACATTGAGTTCATCATCATTGATCACCAGTCATGATTATCATATACGACAGATACAAGATTTGGCCGAAAAACTGGAAAATACCCAGCAAATTCGTGGCCGATTTCCAATACAAATTGTTCAAACTGATACACATGATTCGAATGGTAGTAGTATTACTGGATCATCTAGTACGGGTCGCCGATCAGAAGATCGTCTTACCAAAGCGGAAAAAGATGCTTCGAAAACAACTATCGAAGTTATTCATGGATTAATGTCACAAACAATGAAAGTAATGTTATTTAATCGTATCAATAATGTTATGAATAAATAAACTGTAATTTTTTTTAATTAAAAATTTTTTACAAAAATAAATAAAAAAATTATATTTTTCTAAATAAAATACCGAAATGTCAGACTTTGCTCGGGCCATCTTTGAACAGTGTTAACCGTTCTCTGGTGGAAACCGCGAATGAACAAAGAAAAATTTCATCATTATTTCGGCATTTTACCTGGATTCGAACCTGGTATCGCACAAATAAAGTCTTTCTCACTTCACCCAAACATAACCCATTAGACTAAATTGAAAACTTCTGCAATATGATTGCCATAATGTTCAATTTCTAATCATTATCATCTTCATCATTAATTTGTAAATTTTGTTCATTCATTTCCAATATGGCCAATAATTGTTGTGTTTGATCATCGGTAAGAGTTTCATTATTCGATGATGATTCAATCATTGCAGAATCATTTATACGCATAACAGTGGCGTCATCTTGATGTGGTTGTTCTCGATTAAAAAGATTTGAATCATTTCGTTTGATTGGACAACGAATTCGGCCAAATACCATTTCACGATGTCCAAATTGTTTACAATAACTACAACGAATTTTTTTACTTGATTGTTGATCCACTTGTGGTGGTTGAGAATCGTCAGCAAATTTTGTATTCAAATCTTCTGTAGATGTTCGATCATCCGGATACATTTTTAAAATGATTGAATCTTTATTCGAAACAAATGGCCGTATAGCATCGAATATATAGGAAAGTCTTTCCGATGATAATGATTGTAATTCTAATCGTGATGGTAGATCATCTGTTATTAATGATAGACATTCATTCGTTACTAAACGATAAGAAACGGTTGTTTCATTCGAATGAATAGTTTTTCGACATAAAACAAATCCAGGAAAATCTATTCCAATTTCAAAATGATTATTATTGTTTAAAATGTTTGGATCAATTTTCTGTATCATAGATAATTTTGATTTCCAATCATAAAGATCTAATAAGATTTGTCCACAATCATTACCGACCAAATATGTTTGTATATGATGTTCATCGATATTATTTTGTTCGCTCAAACAGCAACGATCGGCCAACATTTTCAATTTAGTTAATGAATCTATTCGACAGCTACGAAATTTTTTCTTCAAAACACCCATAAATAAATCATTCCAACAATGTGAATGACCAATAGGTAATGATGATATTTGAAATTTATCATGCTTACCAATCAATGTTCGCCACATTAAATATGATAATAATGAAGAATTTTTTAAATGATTAAGCTGGCCATTAGCTAAATGAACAATAGATTCATGTTCACCAAATCGATATGTAGAGAAAAAATGATGTAACAATGATAAACTAATATTTATCAAATTATCCGTTTGATGACAAATAAATTCCGGTACAATGTATAGAATAAATTTTCGTAATGGTTCAACTACAATACCAAACAATGCTACTTTGTAACCATTTTTGAAATAGATTCGTGGATTCTGTGAATCAAATGGTAACGATATGGTTGTAAACCAACCGAATGTATAATGCATCAATTTCAATGTAGATCGAAATGATTCTTTTAGATTTTGACTGAAATCATTTTGCATTCGAATATATTCATCATAAACAGTCTGACATTTGATTAATGTTGATTGAAAATGATTCAATTCCGGTTGAATATGATTTAAATGGGAAAGATATTTTTGTAATGATTCAAGTTTTGATGATTCAAGTAAATCGGTACGTATTAATCGTTGTTGATATTGACGGCATTGAAAACATGGATCACATCGATCATTAAATGTTTGAATATTAGGATAATATAGATTCCATAATTCTTGCCATAAAGCAAATGATAATGGTTCGACTTTTAGATCTAAACATGTCATTGAATATTGTTCATAGATATGACGTCGAGATTGATTTGAATTATTTGGTAATAGATAAAGATCTTTATAATTTGATTCTGAACTAAAACAACCGGCTATTTGAAGTGAATTTTGTTGACCATAATTCTGTATGAATATTAATGCTTCTCGTTGACGACGATTCATAGAAATTTTATTTTGGGAATTATTGTAAATAGATTCATGTCGTGGTGAATCGATTCCATTCGATATAAAATGTTTGATTATATTTTTGAATCGTTTATTACCACAGCCAAAAACATAGAGAAAAAATGATCGACATACTTCTTGTCCACGAAATTGAAAATTGGTATGTGTTCGAGAATCGCTGGATATATCGTCGGTATCATCGACATTTGTCTTATGTTTTCGTTTACGGTGATGATTGTTTTGTACAAGACTATTCATTGCTCCTAATAACAATAAATGTTGATGATTAACATGATCGGGACAATATTTATCCAATGCCAAAGCATCTAAATGTGATTTAAATGCAATTGATTTTGAAAATTTTCGATAACATTGTTTTGAACAACAACAGCCATTATTATTGCGAAAATATTCATCATAAAATTCAGTACAACTATCAAAATTTTCCGGTATTGTTGATGTTTGATCAACAATTGATTGCAATTTTATTTCATGTTTTATTGCCGGTTTTTCGGATTCAAGCTCAATTTTATTTGTTGTGTTTGATAATTCCGGATTAGCATCACACCTAACACTACTATCGAAAAAAATTGACAAAACATTAATAATTTCAGATGGAAGTTGTTCAGCTTGAAATTGTTTTACAAGATTTTTAACATTATCATCATCCATTTGAAATCAGAATCAATTTAAGTTGAAAAAAAATTGTCAGAATAAACAAGAATTGATCATCCATAAATAAAGTATTCGAATGAATTTTAATTTAGTAAAAATTTTTTATTCAAATAATCTTTTTAAGAATACAATTTCCGATGATCAAAGAAAACATGAATAAACAAGAAAAAAAGAAATTCATTCATTTATTTTTGCTTAAATTTGTACGAGAAAAGAAAATTTACATTTGAAATTGGGTATTTCGTACTGTCTTTTGGAATTTGGTATGATTTAATTTTAGTGACTTTTAAGCCAGATGTATGTTGTGGGTTTGCGGCTGGAAAAACATTAACGGATTGATAAATATGAAGGCCAATCACCAATGATGAACATGATTCGGAAAAAAAACCAATGTGCTTTTTAGTTGGTCTTTTTATTCAACATACGTGAATATAATCGTTTAAGATCATCTTCAAATTTTCGTTCAAGAAAATATCCTTCATCATCGACCCATTTACCAATTGAACCTTCTAGTTTTGATTCACATGGTTGGCCACCATTTTTGTTCGTTTTCAATTCGATCAACAATTGATATTGATCATCAAATCGTTTCATATATGATGATACAGTAATTGACTATTGATGGAAACAAATTTCAATAAAAAAAAACGGAATTTCAATGAAAAATTTTAATACCTTATTTCCATGTTTAGCTTTTAAAAAGATTCCCTTTTCAACCATAGTTGTATAAATGGTCAATATTGCCATGAATACGAAATATGCACAAACACAAATGAGAAGTATTGGCCTAGATGTTGGAAATGGATTCAGATAATCCCAGATAAGTGCAAATACGGCTACACCAACAGCCATCAAGCTAATACCCAAACGAATATCGATAAGTATAAAATTTTCTTTATATTGATTTGTATGGGTGAAAAAAAATTTAACAGCATCATCCAAACGATTTTTGACAGCCGATCCATCCCATTTATCCAATGGTTTGATTATTTCACCAATCATTTCATTTTCAGACATTTTTAAATTTAAAAATTCTAGATAATTAAACTGTGGGAACAAAATGAAACCGATAAGTAAATTTTGATGATAATTTGAAAAAATAAACTAAAATTCGTTGAACAAATGATGAAATCCTAAACAAATTCGAATGCTGACGCGACAACACAAACCTAAATTAACCGGAATGGATTCATCAATGTATACAATATCATGAGTCAAGAAATGATGATTTTTTATGATCACAGAGGGAGCTTTATTTATTTTTTTTGGATTAAAAAAAAATTTAAAAATTTCAAATTGAAAACAATGATTCAGGTAGAAATTCGTTCGGTATCGATGATTCTTGTGTAAGAACCGTGCATAATGTACCGGCAAACAAAAATTGCCATTCTTGATAAATAGATTGTTCTGGATTACAATTTTGTTGGATACATTCTTTCATATCATATAGAATTTGTAGAAGATCTTCATAACGTTTTTCATCGGCTAATCCGAGTAAAAATCGAATGACATATGAAATATCCATATCGTTCAATTCTTCAGTGCTACAGATCCATTCTTCAAATAATTTTCCAACATCTTGAATACTAGTTTTACCACAAACATTAGCCTTCATACCGACAATTCGACCAAAGAAAATATTGTTAGCAATATCTACATTATTTTGGATTGGTTTTTTCAAATTTTTAACAGGTGATTTCGTAGGTTTATCCGAAGTTTTCGTGCATTGATTGTTTTTCTGTTGTTTTTGACGTGCGTAACCAATAACTTCTCGACGTATTTCATCGGGTAATTCATTCAGCATAGCAGAATCCAATTCTTGTGTAGAACCTGGCATATAATCTGATGTATTGAATGCTAATGGTTCGTGATTTTGAGCCGGTAATACACCAGTGGTTGATGATGATGATGGTCCTTGTTCTGAAATTCGTGAAGAATGTGGTTTAGTATTAGGCGTACTATGTTTATCATTATCTAGCTCATTTAATAATTTTAAAAGATTTGGTTCAAAATCTTGATCTGAATCAACTTCATACGTTTCATATGTCAAAGTCATCAGACCATTTTTTATGCCAAGTATTGGACTTAATGATCGAAATTTTTTCGAATCTTTTTTCTCCAATTGTTGTTGTTGCTGCTGCTGTTGTTGTTGTTCTAATTGTCTAGTCATTCGGGCAAATGTTTCACGAATATCTTGAAATTTTTTATGTACAAGAAATTCATGCAATGGTAATAATTTTCGTGCACGAAGCGATTCGATTATCCATTCTGGTCGAACAGTTTTATTTCGTGCGATTTCAGATTTCATTTGTGCCGATGAAAGAATTGTTGCAATTGTATGTGTTGTACGATGTCGATCGAAAATTAATGTATAATGACCACCAGTGAAAAGCATCAATGTATGAAGATGTGATGCAATAGGATTCGTATATCCATTAACGTATATACAAATACCTTCGAACAATGTTGACAAATCAGATTGTTCTGGTTCAAAATAAAAACGATTAAAATATTCCCAAATTTCAGCTGTATAATCGATTACAGGTGGTAATGAATCAGGATCACAGATACGCCATTTTGGATCACCCAAAGGAATATCTGCAAAACGATTGACAGGTGGATCGATATGGAATCGACAACCACGTTTTTGTTGTAGTTCAAGACAACGTTGACGAAGTTGTCGGAGATATTCACGTTGTTCGCTACAATAATCATCAAATTTTAATCGTTTTGTGTGTAAATAATCTCGATATATATCTCTTATACCACGTGATTTATCCTCTTCATCTTTGTTGTCAACGATTTCATCATCGAATTCGAATTCATCATCTTCGTGATCATCAACTTCCAAGAGTAAATGTTCAGTTGGATTTATATCAACATTAGTTTTTGGTCTAGCACGTGATAGTTTTGGTCGTTTATTACCTCGATTCATTTTGATAAATATTCGGATAATCACAAAAGACGCGGGCAAATTGTCACAATGAATTTTGTTTTGAAAATTTTGTTTCTCATAATTTTGTGTAAAGAATTTTATTCATAGATGTCGTTAATTATATTGTAGAATTCATGTCAAAGTGCTGCATTAATGCATGGACAAAAAAATAGCTAATGCGATCATTATTTTGATTTTCGAAATATGAGCCAATTCCGTAATCGATTTGGATCGCTGTTAAAACAGCAATTACAAAAATCCACTCAAAATATTTCCATTAATAATCGAATATCTAAAATTTTAGCGATTTCAAATCGCCAACAATCATTGTGGTGTCCAATCTATAATGAATCTATTTTGCAAAGACATAATTATAGACGGATTTTCACATCATTTACGCGGCATTTAAGTGATTCGAATAAAGAACAACAAAATAATACTCCAAAAATTCCTAATCCGATATTCGGTCATGATGTTGAAATTGATGGACGTAAAATTCATTATGAAAGTGCTGGTCAAGGTGAACATGTATTATTGTTAATGCCGGGTGCATTAGGCACTGGCCGCAATGATTTTCTTCCACAATTGACCGGTTTGGATGGATCAAAATTCAAAATTATTGCATGGGATCCACCTGGTTATGGACAAAGTCGACCACCAGAACGAGATTTTGAAGATTTCTATCGACGTGATGCCGTTATGGTAGCAAAATTGATGAAGGTTTGATTTTTTCGATGTTATATCCCCTACCTACCTAATTCATATTATGTTATTCGATTTAGAAATTGAATCATGATAGTTATTCTATTCTTGGATGGAGTGATGGAGGTATAACTGGAATCATATTAGCAGCCGCTAATCCAAATAATTTACAGAAATTAATTATATGGGGTGCAAATGCTTATGTTTGCGAAGAAGATCGAGAATTATTGCGTAAAGTTCGTGATGCTCGTCATGGATGGTCTGAAAGAATGCGACGACCAATGATCGAAATTTATGGTGAAGAACATTTCTATCAATTATGGGATCGTTTTATTTCGCATATGTTAACATTAAGTGATATTTGTAAATCAGATCTAAAACGTATTGAATGTCCAGTGTTAATATTACATGGTGATGAAGATCCAATGCTTGCACGTGAACATCCACTTTATCTTGTTAATAATATTCCTAATGCTACATTGTTTCGATTTCCCAAAGGTAAACATAACATTCATCAACGATTTGCCGAAGAATTTAATGAATTATGTGAAGATTTTCTTCTAACTAAATAATAATTATAGTCAAATGTGAATGGAAGACTTTTTAATTTGTAAAAATGGTTTGAATTAAATTGAAAATTGGTAAAAATTTTAGATTTTAAGAAAAATCTTGATTCTGTTTAAATTAATTCCGCAAAAAATTGAATTTTTGGTTCAAGAATATCGTCACGGCATTTGATAATTTGTAACTCACGATTAAATGGCAGCTCTAATCCACGAGGCTTATTGTTAGCATGATTGAATGTACGACAAATAATTGAATTCAATGTTGCCGTTACATTTTCCATTGTTGTTTTTAAATCAAATTTTGTTTTTGTAAACCAAGCTAAAAACAATGCTGCGAATAGATCACCGGTACCGGTAAAATTAGCCTCGAATCTCGGTATTTCCAATTTAAACAGCTGTCGAATTTGGCCGGATGGTCCGGGTAATTCGCTTGAACCAATAGTCATTAATCGTTTGTTTGTACCGTTAAAACCTTCATCAGTAGATGATATTATGACGGTTTTGATGCCCAAGGAATGTAAATGATCAATAGCTTTTAGCGCCGTTTCAATTCCAGTGATTTTTATACCACTCAATAATCTGAAATTTTGAAACAAAAAAACGTTAAAAAAACATACGGATAACAGTGGATACAAACTCTGCTTCAAATTGATTCGGACAAATAATATCGGCCAACGGAATGATTTTCTCTTTGTATACGGAAAGCAACTCTTCTGGTACGTACTAAAGTGAAGAATATTTAATTAGAATACATGTTTAAAACAAACAAAAATCAATCACCATTTTGCCATTATCTCCAAGAACTGGATCACAAACTATCAATTTCAAATGAATTTTAAAGTCGTAATATCATTTTTGTTTGCAAAAATACTTACGATATACAACATTCGGGGCTTTGGATTTGATTTCTTTAATAACAGAATTCATTGCTTGCAAAAAACTGGCTGATCTTGCATAACCGGTCAATAAATGTGTATATTGACAAAGAAGATTATTATATCGAAGACCTTCGATTAATTCGGATAAATCTTGTTCGTTTAATACTTGTCCAGTCCATTTTGGATATCCAGTATGAGTACTGAATTGGACCGAATTTATAAAATCAACATCGAATCCAAGCGTTTGCAATGGAAATACGGCCGATTTATTTCCACAATAACCGGATACAACATGACTTTGAATCGACAGAACACGGCGATCATCATCGTCAAAATTTTCCATGATAATTGCTTTAATTTTCGTTGACTTTTTGTGTAACGGATAAAAAGAATGCAGGCAAGTTATCTCAAATTTAATTTTTTAACTAACGATGATCATAAAACATTGATGTTCTCCTTGAAAACCAATAAAATTTTCACCATATTTGCAAGGATAACATCAATAACAATCAATGATATTTATGAGCATAAAAAAAATGTTTTCAATTTGGTGAATGGAAATCCATTAAATTTACTTTTACAAAAACAACAACCAAATTAGGTTATATTTCGCAAGAATCCAAAAAAGATGATAATCGTTTTTTCAAGATGGCAGCACAGGTCTCAATGTAATAAATTTTTTTATCGAAAAAAAATCATAATTCGAACCCGAAACAAAATCAAGTACAGGACCCTTGGTCCTTTGATTGAAGATTGCTATCGTGTTCGGGACACCTGTCAAACGGATGATGAATGGTCATTTTTCTTTTGAAAATACAAATGATAATGATGAGTATGACCTCGAAACAACAACAACATGACGTTGTCATTGATTTAGGTTCTTGTTTGTTGTTTGTTGTTTTTTCGTTTAAATTTCGTTTTTATTGTAATTTTTTTTCTGATTTGAATAAAAAAGATTTTCTAATCCAAAATGTATTACATTAATCCTGGTATTTTTTGTTTATCATTATATTTTATTATTGGCATCGATGCATTTACCGGGACATGGGGTAAAAGTAAGATTTTTTCAAAATCTATTTGAAAAAACATTGATTTACTTGTATAAATTACAGTTTTTAGCGATTCGACAGCAATCGAAGATGAATTACATATTGCACGAACACCACCATCATCATTAATATTGCCAAATATTTATGAAAATTGGACAAGAATGTTTCGTACAAATCATAAATATCTTTCGGCAAATTCAAGACGTAAATCTACGGAACGAAAATTATTGGAAAATATTGGCAATTATCAACAATATTTAAATACAGAAATGTTAGCATTAATGCAAGAAATGAAATTTGATCGTATGGCTGTTATTGTAAATGATGAACGACAATTTAACATTAATCCAGAACGTTTCGAACATCATGGTAATCGATTAACAGTTGAAGAATATATTCGTTGGCTATATGAATTACATAGAATGTCAAAAGATTTTAAAGATGAATTGATTGATGAACAACAGATTGAAGGTCGATTTGGTTGAAATTTTAATTTGTAAATTATTAAAAAATAAATAATAATATTTTCTTTGAAAAAAACAAATAAATTAATTTCCAATCTTATCTTGTTCGAATTTAAGTTTATAACGTATTTTTCGAATCAGTTTTAATTCATCTTCATCCGCTTTATATTCTATATCGATCGGTTCTGCACCTTCTTCTTTACCAGCAAATCGATAACGACCTGGTATAGATAATAGTTCATATCTTTTCTTTAATCGTTTAAGACTAAGAAATCTACCACGAAATAATAAACCACCTTGTAAATTGATTATTTTTTGTGAATATAGAGAATCTAATTACATTAAAAAAAACATACATTTAAATTGTGGAAATTTTCTAGTAACAAATGTATAAACATAATATATGATAATTATGGATAGGATTGTTGTAGTCATTCTACTTGAATTATGAATAACATCTAAAACATATTCCATTTGAAGCCAAATTTGTTGATGCCATTCTTTTGGTAATTCTGGATTAAGTTCTTTCATAAAAATTTCATTATGATAATAATCACTATAATCATCGATCGATGCCAATGATTCCATTATAATGAAATTTTCAAATTATTTTGTTATTTTCAAAAACAATCTTTTAATTTTCTTTAACAACAACAAAAAACAAAACAAACATCAATTATAAAACAATCACAATAACAATAACTAAAATTTTTCTAAAATTCACGAATTTTTTTTTAAATAAACAAGAAATAAAATTTGTTGAACAAATTAACTTTTGATGAAAAATGAATGAATTATTTACAGATGCAAACAAACACAAATGAAAATGATTTTATGATGTCATTTTATTGATCTAAACTATTAATTGCTGGATTATCATTTCCAATGATTTTATTGTTGGTTCGAACATTTGAATGTTTACGATGATTTAGACGGAAAAATGTCGATTCAACATTAAGAAATGGTCGTTCAAACATGACAAACATAATGATCGATATTAATTGTGTAAAAAAGAAATAACAAATTACATCTAATACCTGTAGGAAAAAAGAGTTCATCAATTAAAAAATTCAAATGATAAAAAAATATACTTACAAAATTAAATTCAGAAAAATAAATTTTCTGTCGTAATGAATTGGTTATGGCACTGATTAAAATCGAATGTAATAAATATGATTGATATGTTAGTTTACTGAATACTTGAAACATTGGATGTGAAAATATTCGATCCATCAATGGTAAATGTTGACGTGCCATTGCCCAAATTAATAAGGCCCAACCGATTGCCCATATGTTACGATGTATGGCACCATATAGAATGGATGGTACATTTACATAATCCCAACCTTGTAACCATGGATATGTAAGCATCGTTGTTGATATTAACATAATAATGGCTATAGTCATCAACATTAATCCAGTAAAAGTTGAATAATTATGTTTTATTCTTTCAACATGATTATTATTATCATCTCTATTATTCTCATCGTTAGATAGAAGATATTTTCGTTGATTATAAGCATTTCTTCGATGATAAATGTATGCCATAAGTATACCAATACAATATGGTCCAATTCGACAATAAGATGCTTTATACACCATGTTTATATAATCTAGATCGCTGAAAAATTGATAAAACAAATTCAAATTAGGATTGTTTTTGGATTGAAAATTAATAATATCAATAAAAAACACATACTAAGTGGTAACAACAACAGTAGGCGTTAAATGTTTCCATGCCATTAAAAATGCGGTTAAACTTGAACTAATTAATATGAATGTTATATTGATAATGATTCCGATTTTTTGCATATGAAAAGATTTATGTGCCAAAAATATAATTAACAATGGTGAAATGATGAAAAATTGCATATCAACAGCCAGATACCAAAGATAGGATAAACACTGGAAAAAAATAAAGTTATATAAATGTTGTTTTTGTTTTTTGACCCATTTTAAAATGATAATTACCTCACGCTGTGGATAAGCAGGCGAATTAAGATTACAGAAATTATTTACATAAAGAAAAATATTCCACCAATTTTTATGACAAGATTTTTGTGATAAATTTACATAATTATGCCACAATGGACCGGAACCAAAAATTTCAATCAAAATAGAAAGAGCAACAACACCAGCAACGGATGGAGTCAAACGAATATAACGATGAAATATTCGTTTTGGATGTTGTTTTAGATGATCAATCATTGATGGATTATGCTGAATTGTTGGCTGATTTTGATGTTCATTATTATTATGATTGTTGTTGTTGTTGTTATTGTTTAAATTAGTATATTTGAAACCAAATTGATTTAAAAATGAATGTGCCATAACAAAACCGGATAATAGAAAAAATGTATCCACCCAAAGTGCAGCATTCGTAACAAATTGATAAATGAATTCTTTTTCAGCATGTAAATATTTTACTAAATTGTCTATGAAAAAAAATGTGTTTTTAGAATATTATTAGGATTAGTTAGTTAAGTAAGACAGGTAGGTTATTTGGAATAAGATACTTACAACTTGGAACTTGAGCTTCAGTAAACGTATGATAGATAAGAATAAATAGAAAACTAAGAACACGAATTCCATGTAGACAATTAATTTGTTTGGTTTCATTTTTCTTCGATGAATGTAATGAATTAGTACGAAAAAGAAAACCAAGATTACGTTCCAGATCAAAACAAAGCAATAATCGTATGATAAAATTTTTCTTAATTGTCGATGAAAATTTATTCAATCGAATCATTTGTTCAATAATAGTTCCAAGGATGATCATTGTAAATATCGATATAAATATTGCACTAATTAACCGAAATGATGATAATTTAGAAATTTTTTGCTTTTTGGTTGTTTCAAAAAATAAACTTACATAATAACAATATGAATAGTTTCAATACGATTACCAATGTTAAGATCTTTTCTTGTGATACATTGTGAAATTATCAATGGTTTTTGTTTATCACGTATGGATACTAACAGCAAATAAAAAAGAAATCAAATCAATTTTTTTTTGACATTATCAAAATCATATACATACATTCATTAAGAATAATAGGTAAATCATAATCAATTGAACATGCAGCCGGTAAACAAATACCAGCCATTGGTGGTACCATTGTCCATACGAATGGTGGAAATATATTGCTCTATGAATTTATATTGAATATAAGAAATGAATGAGGAATTTTGTTGTTGTTGTTGTTGAAAAAATGATTCAAAAATACCTCATTTTTAGTCAAAATAATTGATGTAGGAAATTGTATACTACAATATTGTATCTGACCATTTGGTAATTGATCAATATTTAGATCTAAACATTGATCAAATTCACCAAAAAATTGTACATTACCATTCATAATACCGGATTCAAGAACAGAATTTGAATCGATCACTAATTTAAAACAAAACAAAACAAAAATGTAATCAACAGGTGTGAAAAAGGGTTAAAAACTTCATCCACTTACTTTTAATTGCCCATTGTTCTTTGGAATTATCCAGAAAATAATTATATGATTGTCGACATTCTTCCGATAGATTATGGCTAACATTATGAAAATATTTAAAAAAATAATATAGAAAAATTTTTCTATTATCAAAACGTTTTTTTGGTTGATATTGAATGGATTCATTATCAATAAATTTTTTTGTTCGTAATGATTCTTCATTGATTTTATTTGACAAAACGGCGGTTCGTTGTTGACAATAACAAGTCGAAATAGTGATGTAAATAAAAATGGTAATCATCACATTCAAAATAGTTGCCATTATTGGATATTTTTTTAAATCACTTTTTTTGGACATCAAAAATAAAATTAACAAAAACGAATTCAATCAGTCATTTCAAATCGATAATTGCATCAGAATAGTAAAAAAAATGCTGTTGAAGATAGAAGGGTTAGATCGAAAACAAAACTGGATTCACATATAAGAAAAACAAGCCAAACAGTGTTTATATATCAAAAAATGTTTTTTAATCAATGCCAATGATAAAATGTATGTTAATGATATTCGTTTTGATTTGCAATTTTTTTCGTTGTAATTTTTTTTCATTTTCATTGAAATTCTTGTGATAGAAAACAAAATCAATTAATTTCAATACACAGGCATACATACGCACAAACAGAGATCAAACATCCTTGATTCATTAATAAAAAATTTGTTTTTCATCAAATTGTGAAATGAAATAATCAAAAAACCAAAAAACAAAAAACCAAAAAAAACAAAACAAAATTTCCTCAATTGAAATTCATAAACGATGATGATCTTGGATAACTTGATGATTCAATAATCTATTGATTGATTGATTGATTTGATGAAATGGATCGATTTATATATCGAAAAAAAAGTTGAATAAATTTTTTTTTTTTTTGGATATAGCATATTAAAGCAGCATTTAATTGCATGCATTCATTCATTCATTCACTATTTTTTTTTCGGTAGAAATAATTTTTATTTCTGTTAAAGTTGATTTAAATCAATCAATCAAATCAATTATTATGATTAGAAATGATAGGATTGATTTTTATTTGTTGTTGATGCACACATCACACACACACACCACTATCGATATGATATGATAATCATCTTCTACATTATCATCATCTAAAACAGTGGTTCATCATCATCATAAAATCCAAACACACACACTCCTTTTTTCGCCATCCATCCATCCATCAACTATTCTCATTATCACAATTAAAAATGAATTTAAAAAACAAAAAAAAAATTATCGTCAAAGGAATCATAAATCTTTTCACATTAAAATATTTTTTTTATCGATGTTGATGATCATCATCAAAGCCACCAAAAAAAAATCAGGATCAATGATAACGGATTTTCAATTTTTTTTCTTTAGTTTTGTTTAGGAGAAAAAAAACAAGCATCCTTGATTTCAAGATTGAGAAATTGAAAATGTACTTGAGATTGGTGGGATGGTATGACAAATTTTTTTTTAATTGTACAGTTTTTTTTTGTTGTGAATTTTGCTTTCCATTTCCATTTCATTTCGATTCATCGAGGGTCAGGATTATTTTTTTGATTTTTGATTTTTGATTTTCCCCTCGCCGCTCACATCACATTTTGGTGTTGAACGTGTTGAATCCAAAAAAGAAATTTGTTAATGCATACATTGCATCAATGATTAATCAATCCGTACATTGACTTTAATGTTATTTTTCGAGGTTATTTTTTTTATTGTCAACAACAACAACAGAAGCAACATTCAAATCATTTCAAGATTCAGGTTATTTTTAGGCAATAAAAAAATAGAAAAATTTATTTTCCATCATTACGGATGACAATAATGATGACGAAGATTGATTGATTAATTGGATTGCAATGTGTAAATCAATGTTGCAAGCAACAACAACAAGGTTCATTAAACGTGTTAAATGCATACAAATTATTATTATTATTATTATTAACCAACATTCATTCAAAAATTGTTATTGGCCATCGACCCGATTTCATTAGGTTCTATTTGTCGTCATCAATAGTGATGTTTTTTTTTTTAGTTTTTGTAAATAACAGAAAGTGTGTATATCGGTCATTAATACTATTCATTCATTACCAAAAAAATATACGATGATATCAGTGGATAGCAATTTTTTTTTATTATTCGCAATCCATTCATTTTTTTTTCTGTAAATGAACACAGATGCAACACCATGTTATCATTCATATTTACTATGTTCAGTTTGTAATAAAATTATAGCAAAATTAATACAAAATACAAAAAATTTTAAATGTAATGAACGTTTTAGTTGTACAAATGTAAATATTTTTGGTATTGTTTTTTCATGATAATATTTTAATTGAAATAATTCTATTCGTAAATGATTCAATCCATTATTATTATCATTGATGGTTAATATTGTTGTTGGTCTGGATTTTTCTTCATTAATTGTTTCATAAATTGTTGATGATAAAATTGATTGACGTCGTTGTTGTTGTTGTTGTTGTTGATTAATGAATGTTGTTGAATGTTTCAATAAACAAAATTTAATTAAAATATCATAAAATTTATCATAAATATCGGATAAATGACCAGTAAAATGAAAATAAATAAATTCCAATAATAAATCTCTTAGAAAATCAAATATTAAAAAACCAGTTAATGAATTTATATCATCTTCATTTCTTAATACTAGATAAACAAATGTAAATATTATTGATATAATATTGAAAATTTGTTTCAACCATATCCATAATGATGATAAACGATAAAATTGATCTAAATTTTTAATCAATCGATAGATTAATGGTTTGATCTGGATAATATTTTCAGCGGTTATATTTTCAGCTATAATAATTAATTAAAGAAAACAAAAACAATGTTAAATTTACCTTTTTTTAAAAAAATTTTTAATTAAGGTTATTGACTCAATAACTACTTAATCAATCAATCAGACAATCGCTTAGCTTTCTTTTTTCTTTCTTATTTTTTTCCTCTCAAAATCATTATAAATGTATTTCAAGGTTAATATTTTTTTTTTTTAATATAAAACAAAAAAAAGAGATTAAAAAACCGAAACTTACTGGTTTTTATCCAATCAATCATATGATTAAAATAATGTTTAGTCAAAATGATAATATAAATTGTTATCATTATAATCATTGGTTCATGATTATTTTTTTCAAGAAAACCCAATGATACCTGTATAAAATCATTAATATTTTCTTTGGTTTTTAATTCAACTGGTATGATAAACAGGTAGAAAATTATATATAACAAAATATTGTAAACAATAATACCGATTATTAATAATTTTGCAATTTGTTTTGATTGATCTAATTTTCTATATAATGGATGACATAATATTCTAAATAATTGTTGTCCAAATAATAAACAAATTAAATAGAAATAAAATTTATTCAATTGAAATATAATAATAAAAAAACGAAATATAAAATATGTTATCGGTTTAAAACTACCCGATAATATTATTTGATCATCATTTAATGCAAATAAAAAATTTTGAAATGATTTTGTCATCATAATTAAATGAACAATTAATACGATCATTTGAAATAATGATAAATAACGATGATTTTGTTTTGAATTTGTTGTTGTTTTTGTTTTTGTTGATGATGGTAATGAAGATTTTCTTAAAAATCTTGATACATAATTTGTCAAATTGCCAAAATATAATCCTGTTGAGCTATTTGATATGAAAAGATATGGATCGATGGAAAAATAAGTGAATGAGATAATGAAAATGAAAATATAAAAACTTGAGATTAAAGCAGGAAAACAAATTTTCTTTTTTTTCTAATAATAATAATCTTATCAGGAAATAATGAGAATGAGAAGAAAAAATCTAAGTCAAGGACAGTGATGGTCATTTACAGTTTTTATTTTTTTTTTAGTCTTTGGTTGGACTTGGGTACAAAAATCATCATCATCAAATCAATTTTATGAGGATGATGATGAGATCAATGGCCTTGTTTGATTTGATTGCTTTTTTATTATACTCGCTTATTATCGGTAATAAGATTAATATATTAGAAAAAAAGAGAAAGTAGAGTTATAACATTCAAAAAAAAAACACATAAACATAATTTTTTGCTAATCATTTTTAAGAATCTATGCAAGTAAGCATTTTTGATCGAATGAAATCGATCAATCAATCAGCGATAGGGTCATTATCATCGATCACGTATGCCAATTTTATTTTTTAAAAAAAATTTCCGTTAAATAATTTTTCCATTCAATTAGGGGTTTTTTCTGTTGTTTCTCCAGTAAACAAATCGCGTATGTTCAAATCAATCAATGTTGTTTTTCAATGAAACTTTTTGTTTCGGTGAAAAACTAAAAAAAACAAACAAACCGGGAAAAAAAGATGCACAAAATTCCTACCTATAGAATAGATAGATAACCATCAATGATGGACCCATTGATTCGAAATGAAACATGATCAATTTTGAAGATATGAGATGAATGTTGTTTTCGCACCAATCAAAATAGTTGAATGTCAAATGAATTTTCGAAAAAATGTGGATGATATTTGGAACAGGCAATCGTTTTTTTTTTCGTTTTGTTTAATACATTCTATTTTATTTTCATTGAAAGAATCGATCAGGCAATAATAAATATGTTTGGATATATTACAAGAAAACGAAAGAAAATTGGAAACCAAAAAATATATTTAAGAAAATAATCAATATTTTGAAATCGATACAACTTGATGATTATGTGTTTTTTTTGTTTTGAAATGTATTTACAAACAACAACAACAACAATAACAAAAACAAAGTTAACCTAATCAATATGATCGATTGATTGGTACATTTGTTTTTCATTTGAAATGGTTTCATATGTGTGTATGTTTGGTAATGAACTTGTACTTTGCACCGATAAAAAAAAGAAAAAATAGTTTTAGATATGGTAAATGGTACATTATCGTTTTGTATATACAATTTTTTGTTTCGTTTTGTTTGACCAGCAATTTATGACTATGATTTGATTGAAGAATTTATAGTTGAACAAAATTCAAACCTCAGTTCCTTGTAGTTGTCCAACAACGGCCGAAGAATGTTGACCACCATTGCCACTAACATTACCACCACCACCGCCACCACCACTACTTGATTCTTCACCATAACCTTCATCAGGACTACAACGAATATTCGATAATGATGTTGAAGCTGTCATTTGTGGTTGTTGTTGGCGAAATGGATAATTCGGTGTCATTGTTTGCCATCTTGATTTACCGACTGTTGTTACGCCATAAATTGATTGATGTTGCTGTTGTTGATGATGATTTGGAGCTGGGGGTGCCATTTGCATCGGTGCCATAGTTACAAATGATGGCTGTATAGGATTAACCGGTGTTGGTATCGTTCGTTGTCTTATTCCATATAATGATTCTTCCATCGTTAATAGATTCGGTCTACTTGTACTAGTTAATAATGTTGATTGTCTGGGTAACTGTGGAAACATTGGCAATGGTTCTAATATCATTGATGGATTTATAGTGGTACGAAAAACTTCATCATCATCACCACTAATATCATTATACATCATTGTTGTTGTATTGCAATGATCATTATTTGCATCCATACAAATAAAACCATTGATCGATGCTGCCGAATCGGTTATGAATGCTGGATTTCCATATGAAATTAATAATGGTGATGGTGATGGATTTGTTGAAATTTGTCTATTTGTATTCGATATAAATTGCTGTTGTTGTGGTTGTTGCTGATGATGCTGTGAAAAGAATTGATGATTTGGTGGTGTTGCTAAACGATGATGATGTTGTTGTTGTTGTTGCTGATTATTCAAATCATATTGACTAAGATATTGATTGGTATAAAGTAAATTTGGTGCTGATGATAACATGAATGCTGTTGATGATGGAGGTGATGCGTTATTTCCATTAAAAATGGCTCCATTTATCGGTGGTGTTGAGGTATTATATGTCATTGTACTGGAATTAGTATGTGGTGCAGTGGTTGTTGTTGTCGATGATGATAAAGTCATCGTTGCCGATGATCCACCGCTGCCATTGGTGATGACTGTCGTTGGATTTACCATAACAGCACGATATAAGCCAGACATTTGTTGTTGATGATCATTTTGTAGATATCCTGGATCCTGTGTAACGAACAATGTATCCTGATGTGAACTACCATTAAGTACATCATTGGTAAATGTCAAATGATGACCTACAATAATGAGGAAAAAAAATTTGAAATTAGTTTTTTTCTGAAAAATATTTCCTAATATGTCATATCGTTTACCTGGATGGCTATTATTATTATTATTATTGTTGTTAAGGCCAAAATGATTCAATTCATAACCGTTCGTTGTTTGTGCGGACATGATCATTTGTGTATTCGATTTTGTATTATTCATATTACCAGGCACTAATAGATCGGGTTTGAGAAAAATTTCCGGCTTTTTATCAATTCCATCCAGACCAAGCATTGAAAGTGCATGTTGTTGCATTCCATTATATGTACCGGATATTGTTCCATTAGATGTTGGATAAATGGCTGTACCATTTTGTCCAAACATTTTATTTAATGATTTTTTCTTCTCCAATGAATCAGTACCACCGGTATTACCGGAACCAGTATTGATTGATTTGCTGGAACTACCATAAAAGTGAAATCGTTTTGATCGAATCAAAATCAATGTGATGACAACAAAAGCAAGCACCAATGTGATTAATAGGCCAAGAACACCGCCAGCTAATTCAACTTTAGACCAATTGGATGGTACACCAAAAGCACTGGATGGTACAACATATACAGTAAAATTTTTACTTTTTATACCGGCACGATTTTCAGCCGAACAAATAAAAGATGTACCATCATCATTCATATCGAGACCAATGATTGTCAGCAATGAATTAACAGTACCTTCAGTTCGTTCTTCAGCTAGATGATATTTATGTGATCGTTGTGATGATATATTATAATAACCATGATCCATATACCAAAAAACTTTTGGTTCCGGAATACCTTTAACCGTACATGAAAGAGTAGCATTACTACCGACAACTTTGGCCACTTCTACCGTTGTCGTAATAATATCCGGTTGACAAGCAAAATCATCCAGATCCAATGAATTCCACATAAGACCGGAAAGTCGTATAGGTAGATCACATGTAGCCGGTATTGATTGACCAACATTATTTCTGATCATCCATTCACGTGTTGGACGCATTTCACAATTACATTGCCATGGATTACGATATAATTCAAAACTATATAATGCAGGTAAATCAGCTACCACAGCATATGGCAATGTTGTTAATTGATTATCATGCAGATAAAGATATTCAAGATCACGAAGACCATAAAAAGCTCTCGCTTCAATTGTATGTGTTTTACAGCCCGAAAGATTAAGAAATTTTAGACTGCTTAATGCGGCAAATGATTCGGCAGTGATTGTTGCAATATGATTATTATTCAATAAAAGACGACGAAGATTTGTTGCATTAGCTAATGCTTTCACTGGTACATGTGTAAGAAGATTATCCGAAAGATCTAATTCAACCAGATTAGTTAACTGATAGAATGCATCATCAGCAATGGCACCAAGTTTACATTTTGGTATAAATAATTTTTGTAGATTAATAAGGCCACGTTCTTGAAATGCTTTTGATGGTAATATTTGAAAATTATTTTGATTCAAATCTAAAACCTGTGTTGATTGTGATATTTGATTCGGTATTGATATTAGATTTTGATTTTCACATATAGTTGTTTGTTTTCCATTACGCCATATACAGGAACAAACCTGTGGACATGTCATCAATTGTGATTCAACTATTTCGATGATCAAAACAATGATCATCAATAATTTTATTGCCAACATTGTTGATGATGATGATGAGGATGATGACTTCATTTTTTATTGTTGTTTTTATTATTTGATTATATTGAAATCAAAATGAAAAATCTAGAGAAAAAAAAATGAAAATGAAAAAAAAGAAAAGAAAAACATTAGAAAATCAATCGATCAAAAAGAAAAAAAAACAATTCAAAAAAGAAATCGATGATAATCACGAAACTATCATCAAAAACATCATCGAATATAACCTTGAAGATAACAATCAATTGAATTTACAATGACAAGGTAAAGTTCCTGGTCTTTATCATTCATTCGCTGAAATCAACGACATACAAAAAATACACGTTATGCGTGTCGTATATGTCGGCATCCACACAAAAGTAAAATTTTTCTGATAAAATTTGATAAAATCAACAAATTTTTCTCATCTCTTCTCTTCTCGGTCCGATAACATAATTCATAATAACGAATATCGGCTTATGCTTACCATTTCAATGATAAAAAACAGGAGAAACAAAAATTCATTAAATGAATCATCATCAAACATATAGAAAATCTAGCGCAAGTAAACAAAATTAAATTAAACAAACAAACAAATAATGGTTACATGATTGTAACTAAATTCGTACCCGGGTAATTTTCATCATCATCATCAATGAATGACTGACAACACTCAAAAAAGATAATTTCTTTTTTTTTATCCAATCAACAAGATTTTGTATTTCATATCACTACGACTACCATCCTATCACTATCACCTATCTCATCATGACACCTTGACATGATGAAATGAAATGAAATGAAAAAAAAGAATTGACATAAACAAACATTATTTTTAATATTGAATTGAAGTGTGCCAAAATAACAACAACAACAACAACAACAACAATGGCGTAATCATAAAATGACAATGTTTGTTTCATTTTTTCTTCTTTTTTTTCATTGGGTAAACAATAACACACGAACAAATGTAATTTAAGAGCCCAAAAAAAAAAATAACAACAGAAAATATTAAAAGACCAGAATAGGATTCACATTCACTCATCATCACTACTATTATGTAATCATCGCCATAATCATTGATATTGTTGTTATATGATGATTATCATTATTGTGGAAAGTTTCGAATAAAAAAAATGGGGAAAGAAAATAATGTAATGATCAGAATTATATATTTGTATATGATTTTTGTATGAAAATCCATTTATCAATGATTTTAATGATAATAATGATGATGATGATCATCATCATTAGTTTTTTTTTCTAGGGAAAAAGAGAAAAAAAATGACAAGATAAAAGTGAGATGATTCATGATTACATGATGAATAAGTTATGAATTTAGATATATAACAACAACAAAAAAAAAAACACCTGTACAAGTGTGATTCGAATCCAAAAAAATTGTAATCCAATTTTCAAATGAAATTGTTTTATCGGAGGTTATTTTCGGTTCAATTCGATGTTGTTGTTGTTGTTGTCATAGCCTTATCGGTAGAAAAAAATTAATGATTTACCATCATCATCATCATCGACATCGACATCGAAATCGACAACCATTTTCAGAGAGCGCCCATTGTTCATCATTATTGAATTTTCCATCATCAAAAACCATTTCGGAATTTATTTTTTTTGAAAAAAAACTATCAAACAAAACAGAACAGAAATAGGATTGGTCATCATCCTGTCCCGTGTGTGTGTGTTTGCGATGAGAAATGCTATTTTTATTTTTTTGAAAATTTTTTATTTAAGAAAATTTTGTTTTTTTTATTACCGAAAAAAACAAGCCGTTATTTTTTTGAAAAAAAAGAAGTTTAATGACTACCCAATGATGATGGTTGATTCAATTCATTTTATTGACACTTATGACAGGTGTGTGTGACCCGTTTTCTTTGTTTTCAAAAAAAAAGATTCTTTTCAATTCATTCAGATATTTTTCGGGTTGTTTTTATTTTCTGTGAATGAAATCTGAAATCGATGAATTTTGATTTCGCATTGCATGATGATTTCCTGATAAAGGGCGTCATTATCATCACTGGAAATTGCATTGGGGATTATTTTATCATATTGTGAAATATTTTTTTGGTTATTTCATCACTAAAGGTGCGGCTGGCTGGCTTTGTACCCAAAAAAATATTCCAGAAATTAAATTAAATGAATCAAAAGGCAAAAGAATAACGAAAGAATAACACTATAAAGGTGACGCCCGAGATTATTCATCCGGAATGAAATCCAGAATTAAAAATTACAAAAATTCATTCAATGCACATGTATGACATTATCGTTTATGTTATTTTTTTACACATCTCAAAATTGACTTTCATACAAAACAAAACAAAACAAAAAAGTTTTATGATTATTACCCAATCTATCTGCCAAACTATCTACCAAAATGATAATTTCTATTTATTTGCTAGCTAAAAACCTAGACCTAAACTTCAAGAGACAACAACAACAACAACAAACAAATAAAAACATGTATGAACATTATGGGGAGAAAAAGAAAAAAAAATTTCAGTCAATAATTGACCGATTCCATCATCATCATCATCATAAACATTGAAGAATTTTTTTTTTGTTAGCCGCACCTTTAAATTACAAAATATAAATTGAAAGCATCAAAAAAAATTTTTCTTCTATTTCGTATAAATACAATCAGTAATGGCAAAAAAAAACATTGCAATTCTTTTGCACTGTACACATAAACATCATTTGATTTTTTTTTCATTTTATGTAGAAATCAACAATCAACAACAACAAAAATCCATTTTGCACATCCGCCTACAGTTTTTTCTTCTTGCTATTATTTATCATCTTCATCATCATCGAAAACATTCATTCATTCAATGAATGAATGAGGGTTCAATGTCGATTTAGATATGGAAAAAATGTTTATCTCTCTCTCTCTCTCTTTCGCTCTCTTTTTCGATGTTCATTCTACCAACCATCGACACACGCACACATTACCTGAATTCAGGGTTTGTTTAATCACAACTACTACCATCATCACCACTTGTAAAAGTCATCCGAAAAAATTCATATATATGAATTCATTCAAAATTCAATGATTCAGATGATAATAACTTGATGATGAAGACTTGTTTTTTTTTGTTATTCGGCTTTATTCTTATTGCCGAATTTTTCATGGATTTTTGTTTTGTTTAGTTCAACTTTATTACGTTTTGTGGATAAAACTTGTTGTTGTTGTTGTTGATCATTATTTCTATTATTCAAGCTGATCTATTCTATCGAATAAAATCGAGATTGAACAACAAAAAAAGAAAAGAAGTTTCAATTTGATTATACATACATACACACACACACAATACTGTTGGATTCATTCATTCACATTCATACACGCACATACAGGTGAGTTACCTGAGACAGAGAGAGAGAACCTGTACCACCAGGATGTTTATTGTTTTGAATGAAATATGACTTTTTTTCCACTTCAACATCTCAATACTACTACCACCACCACCACCATCATCATGATCGTCATCAAAAGCGACCGGTTTTTTGAACTTTCAAATAAATATAATGCGAATGAAAAGAAATCAAAATAACGACCACCGAACTTGTTAAATGTAACGAAGTGAAAAAAAAAAGAAAATTCGAACAATTCAAAATGAATCAGAGCAACAATAACAAAAAAATGGGAAAAAATAGCATCCATTTATCGTTGCGCATCAATTGTTATTACTTTTTTGAAAATAGAGAATTATTTTTTACAAAATGATAAAGAATTTTTTTCTTTCCTTGAATTTCAAACAACAACAACAATTAACCTCGAATCAAAGTATTTAGAAGAAAAAGAAGAGAAAAAAATCTGAGAAAAATTCCCAGTCATATTAAACGCAATAATGAAAACATTTCAACCCTTTCTTGCAAATGAAACAAAAATAAAACACTAAAATGAATTGTTCCATGAAAACCAGGAAAAAAACAACCAAAAATAAAATGTAAAACCAATAAATCTTATACCCTCCATATGAACATCAAACCACCAGTCAAAAAAAATAAACCTATCAATCAAAAATCATCTTAAATATCCAACCAAAAAAAAAAATAAAACACCTGATGATTATTCAAGATTATTCAATATAAACCATTGTTTCAAATTTTTTTTTCTTCTCCAAAATGATTATTCTCATCATCATGATGACCTAACCCTGTGACCTATGTGATGATGATGATGATGCTCTTGATAAATTTTTCTGCATCATCATCATCAACATTGGTTGGTTGGTTATAGTTATTATTTATGGCCATCAATGGCATATCCCACACACACACACACACTTTAAATGGTAACCACAAAAAAACGATGTTCATAAAGAAAAAAAAATTCAAGTATAATTTTTTTTTGTTATTTTCTTTCTGTAGAATGGTAGGTTTGGATGTTTGTGTTTTCTGTGTTAAGGGTATGTATCCTGCTGTCATGTCAATGATCATCACCATCAAGTGATGGTGGTGGTGGCCAAAAACCTGGAATAAATTTATGGAAGAAAAAAAATTTCTCGATTATCGTTGTTGTTGTTGTTGAAAATTATGATGAACTAGGATTTATAATATGGATGAATAATATACCTCCTCATCATTATGATGATGATGTTCTTTTTTTATGAAAAAAAGGATGTTGTCGAGTGAAAAACGAATGAGAGAAAAATAAAAGAAGAAGAAAAGGTCGTTGAGATTCTGAATTGAATTGATTTATCTTTGTTGTTGTTGTTGTTGACCTTTTGTCCATATTACACAAGATATAAAAAGTGATAAATGATTGAATGAATGAATAAAGATCAAGCCATCAAGGTTAAATTCTATTGGATTTTCTTTCGGTTCAAATTATTGCTCTATGTTGTGTTCGTGTTTGATAATTAATTAGGAAAAAGTTAATGAAAATTTTCATTACCAATATAGTCTATAAACTTGAAATCTCCACCCACATCCACCCACACAAATACAAAATGTGTGTGTGCACGTAATAAAAATGTTTATAAAATGCGAAATAAAAAAAATACAATTAAAAAATGAATGGAAAGAAAAAATAAACGTTTTACATCATCTTTATGACTATTAGCAAATGATAGCATCAA